AGCGAGCTAGTCTCTACAATTCTGAAGATACAGCCGTGCGCCATGCACATTGCCATGGCAATCCCATGCTTTACAGCAGAGAGCAGAGCACATACAGCAGGGGAGCAGGGGAGCATGGGATTATTGGATCATGGGAGCATGGGAGCAGGGGAGCATGGGAGCAGGGGAGCAGGGGAGCACGGGAGCACGGGAGCATGGAAGAGAGGGAGGATAAAATCATGGAGCACGGGAGAATGGGAGCGTGGCGCAAGGAAACAAATGCCTGTTGCTTGTTTCTGCCTGCCTTTTACTCATTCCCACTGGAGAACCAGCCATGGGGGTGCATTGGGTGGGTGGAGTGTTAAGCTGCAGAAAAGAGATGCACTGGGGATTGCTCCTGTTTATGCAAAAAAATCTGTCTGTTGTTGTTCCGTGGGCATGCTGAAGCAACCAATGCCAACGTGGTGCGCATTGTGGCGACACACAACACAACCAGCTCCAAGGTGATGAGGGCGGTCTGGTTGCACCAGTGCACACCACGATAGACTCACCTCACGCGCAGGATTTCATCTCACTGCATGCCTCCAGCATGCCACTCAAGTTCACTGTATTAATTAGCCGCTACCGTCCTTTGCCATGGTATCACTTTTTGCGAAGTGAGCGAAGTGACAACCAGGGATGAGAATGAGAAGGGTAATTTGGCAGCAGCAACGTGCAAGACCTCTACCAGTATTTTATGCAGAATCAGTTCCCACCAAAATGGTGGGTACAGCTAGAGAGACGGACAATTCAACTCTATCAGCCTCCTCCAATTCCCCTGTTGGCTGCTGCCAGCTCCCTCCTTGTCTCTTCCACCAACCGTGTAGTTCCGGCTAGAAGACCCGCCAGTAAGAAAGTCCCCCGGGACTCTTGAATGGGTAGGGGGACTCTTATTGTGGCAGATATTGTGAGGACCCCCCCTTTGCCTCTAATCATCATAAGACCCCCCTTTTCTGTATACATTAGTTGTAATTGCTATTGCGCATCAGTTTTTACTGGGACAAATTCGAATTCTGACACATTTTTTGTGTCAGACTCGAATTCTGACACTTTACTTGTGTCAGACTCGAATTCTGACACAGATCTGACGCGCCGCTCGTGCGAATTTTGCGCGAATTCGGTACGAATATAAGACCCCGCCGCCCCAAATTGAGCTGTAAACCCTAAATAACAGATTGATAAATGACAAATAAGTGTACCCCGGGTCTTCAAATTTTGCAACCGCCAAGATGTCCACCCTAGCATTTTTTTCAAGCAATTCTAGAGAGTCCCCCGGGTCAAGGCTTAGGCTTGAATTTTGCCTACTCACGATTGGCAGTGTAGCTGTTTCAATAACCCTTCTGAGCAGTGTGTATTTTTTCATTACACTGATGGATCGGTGTAACGATGAGTGTCGGAAATTTTACCCTGCAACAGCAGGGTGAGTTTCCGTGACGTGCTGGCAAGGGAAAACAGATACGAGTCCAAACAGACACGGGACACGAGACACGAGACCAATCTGTTAGAATGTTTAGGCTTAGGAGCCTAGGGTAGAACGAGAATGACGAGAGAGAAGAGGGGAATGGCCAAAAGAGGGGATTCACTATGGAGAGGGTAACAAGATATAGGGTAGAAATGGGGTACACGACCAAACAGGATTATAACAATAACTACAGTAACTACAGTAAGCAGGCTATGATATAACTTTGACACACCCCCTTAGCCTGCTTGCGGTAGGAACTGGTGCAGTCAGGAACGAGGAGGAGGCAAGAGGAGAGGAGAGAAGAGGAGAGGAGGTGGGGGGCTACCCGCTTACGAACCTCCTTCTACAAAGGGGGATGTGAGAGAGGAAAGGGAGTGGAGGTGGGCTAGGTGGGCATGAGCGCGCAAGCTCATAGCGATCCCCCCCGTTAATAATCCCCAAGTCTTGATGAGGAGAGGAGGTGGGCTAGGTGGGCATGAGCGCGCAAGCTCATAGCGATCCCCCCCCCCGTTAATAACCCCCAAGTCCTCACCCCCTCTCATCAATCACCCCTTAAACCTCACTCCCTCTCATCACCTCCTCGCCACCCCCTCATCTCCCTCCCACCACCCCCACATCTCCCTCCCGCCACCCCCGCATCTCCCCCCCCCCCAACGGCGAAAGCCGCGGAATGGAGGGGGGGGCGGTGTGAGCTGCTGAATGGAGGGAAGGGGGGGGGGGGGGGGCATCAGCTGCTGCTGGCGCTGGCATCTGGTGCTGGCGCTGGCGTCCGTGCTGGCGTTGGCGGCGGCGTCTGGCGCTAGCGCTGGCCGCTGGCGTCCGCGCTGGCGTTGGCGGCCGGCGTTGGTGTCCGCGCTAACGTCATCGCTGGCGCCCGCGCAGGTGCTGGCGACGGGCGCTGGTGGTACGCGATTGCGTGCTGCTGCTGCTGCGTTCGTGACGGAACGGGTCGGGGCAGGCGAGGCGCGAAGGGACGAGACGACGCGAGCTGGGCGCAGCGGGGGCGTGACGGACGGGCAGGGCGCGACGGACGGGCAGGGCGCGACGGACGGGCAGGGCGAAACGGACGGGATGGGCGCAGCGGGCGCGTGACGGACGGGCAGGGCGCGCGGGGCGCGACGGTACGGGAAGGTGTCAGAATATTATGCTTGTCTAGTCTGTAGTGGGGTACTCAATAGTGAGTATAACCCTTTTAGGGCTTGCTATTTGTACCCCCCTCCTTTCTAGTTGATTCACTTTCTCCTATTTCTCTTTCGTATACCCTAAACCCTAGCCATGGCTTCTAAGCCTTAGCTAGTATTCTAACATGGTATCAGAGCTGTTTCGCTCTTGGCCTGTGGGTCCCACGTGCTTTCACTGCTTTCCTGTCTGTCGCGCGCCCCGTGGCGCGCGACGCCTTTTTTTTTTCTTCCCACCACGCGATCGGGGCGCGCGGCGGTTTTCTGCCCCGTCGACCCGCACGGCGCCCCCCGTCGACCGTCGAAGCGCCCCCCGTCGCCCGTCGAAGCGCCCCTGGGCCCTGCGCGGGCCGCGCGCGGCCCGTACGACCTGCGCCAGGCCCGCGCGCGGCCCGTACGGGCTGCGCCAGGCCCGGGCAGCCCGCGCGCGGTTCGTCCGGCCTGCGCCAGGCCCGTGCGCGGCCCGTACAGTCTGCCCCGCAGCCGCGCATCGTTCCCTGAGCTGCTGCCCGCTGTGTCCCCCGCTGCTGCCCGCGCTTCTGCCTGTATTAGGGTTTGGGGTGGCGAGTGTGGGGGTGGCGAGTATGGGGGTGACGAGTGGGTGTGTGCGCCGTCCCCTGCTCCTCCTCCTCCTCCGTCTCCCACTGCTGCAGCTGCCGCTGAGGGGGGTGGATGTGTTGGAGCCGTCGGAGTTGTACGAGGGGGGTGGCGTGTGAGCAGTGCTAGAGGTGCAGCAGGGGGTGTGTGACACGGGTGTGGGACAGCTGGGGGAAGTTGAGTGGAGGCAGTCGTCTTGTCGTCCGCAGCGCCTGAAGTCCAGAGAGCCACAACCCGATGTGGCCTGAGTAGTCCGGGGCTCTGCGCCCGGTAGCCACAGTGTGAGCACTCCTGGTAGTCCAGAGAGCCACGACCCCCTGTGGCCTGAGTAGTCCGGGGCTCTTCGTCCGGTAGCCACAGTGTGAGCACTCGTGGGAGCACAGAGAGCCAGCTGCGCCTGTCGCCGTGTAGTCCGGGTTTAGCCTGGTAGCGACAGTTCTGCGCACTCCTGTTGCCCGTGTGTCTGCAGCTTCAGCCGTCGCCTCCCATCTTCTCGCCCCCACAGTTTCTCCTCCTCCTCACTTGCCCTTTGCGATAGTCTCTAGTTTTGCTTATCACTGTGACCTACTGCTCTGCCTGCTTGTTGTGTTGATTGTACCCCACTTTGACTATGGGGGTGTGTTAGAATATAATGCTTGTCTAGTCTGTAGTGGGGTACTCATCAATGATTATAACCCTTTTAGGGCTTGCTATTTGTACCCCCCTCCTTTCTAGTTGAATCACCTTCTCCTCGTGTACCCTAAACCCTAGCCATGGCTTCTAAGCCTTAGCTAGTATTCTAACAGAAGGGCAGGCGCAGAAGCGCCTTAGCGGGTTTTGCGGGAGCCATGTCTGAAAAAAAAAAAAATCCGGTCCTTAGGAGCATTTCCTGCTCTGTACCATGTTAGAATGTCTAGGCTTAGGAGCCTAGGGTAGAACGAGAATGACGAGAGAGAAGAGGGGAATGGCCAAAAGAGGGGATTCACTATGGAGAGGGTAACAAGATATAGGGTAGAAATGGGGTACACCACCAAACAGGATTCTAACAATGACTACAGTAACTACAGTAAGCAGGATATAATATAACTTTGACACAATCAGACACGAGACTGCTGCCAACAAACAGACTGCACGGAAGGAAACTTTACGAACTGACGGATTTCTGAGAGGGGGGGAGGGGGGGGGGGGCTGTACGCTCTTCAGTGTAATCTTTGCTAAGGGAAAAGTTTCCCCAATGCATCAGTGTGGCCTACAACGTTACACTGACATATCAGTGTAATACTAATCCTTCAAAAAAATACCCGAACACATCAGTGTAAGCCCAAAATTTCACCCTTCTAATCAGTGTAGAAGGGTAAATTACACTGATAACGAGAGCCCTGCCCCGGGTCTTCTAGCCGGAACTATACGGTACATGCCAAGTGCACTCATCCACCACCATCTCACTCCTACCACCACCTTTGCCATGTAGGATACAGAGTCTGTATGGGCAACAGGAGGTCCAGTCAACCAGGCTGGAAGTAAGACTCGCCATGGTCAAACACGAACGAATGGGTCCCTTAAAAAGAAATTTGTTCTGGAAAGGCAACGACCGCCCTCTTGCCGCCCTCTTGCTCAAGGATTTCTTTGGTTCAGGATTTGATTGAACTCACAATCATTCTGAGGGTTTCAACTAGCCACATTGCTGTAGCAATGCTAAATAAATGACTCAAAGGCAGTATACCATACATACAGGCAAGCAAAGTGGGTTACAGATGCATCCTCTCTCACTGCAGCACGGAAATCTTCTTCCAGGCAGGGCGCGAGGAAATCCTCTCCCACCATTTGTTCACATTCGAACGCGAAGTGATGAGATCCGAATCTCCCGACATCCACAGCAGAGCGGTGTAGGGCAGGTGGGACAGATCCGCCAGGGAGAAATTGGACCCCGCCAGGTACTCGTTGCTGGCCAGATGGGCTTCATACACATCAAGCACCTTGGAGAACTGCAGGAATGAGCGGATAGCAGGCAGTAAGAAGGCCGAAACATATTGATTGAACGGAACTCACAGTGCAAAGGGATTTTTTTCCTCGCCACATACCGTAGACCAAAAGCCTAAAATCTGCAACGCTTGCCTATTTTCGTGACTTACTTTGGCCTTGAGCTCTTCCGCCTTGGCCAGGTCGGGCTTACCCCCACCGAACATGGGCTTGAACACTTTCTCCGCGATCAGCGCTGAGAGCGGCGGGTTGTAATTCTGCGCCTCCACATCCATCCACTGGTTCACCAGCGCTCGCTCCTGCACCATACCGTACGCACACCAACAGCGGGAAACCACATGAAACAGATTTTTGGAAGAATGAAAAAATCGTCTCAGCACACACCGCTTGAAAATGACTGAAGAGATGGATAGACGGTTCTTGAATCGACTCAACAGACACGCTTGTAGGCGATTGAATATCACTGCCAGCACTAGCAGGTGACCAATCTGAATGGCGGAATTTCAGCAGGCTAAGGAGGGAGAAAAGTGCTTGATGTGCATACCTTGAGCGTGGAGCCGAGAAGGACGGTGCCTTGGCTGGAATTCTTCTCAGCGATGTAACGAGCGATGGCACGCGATTCTGGTTATTGCAGAGCAAAAGACATTTAGGAGAAGATTACGCTACTTATAGCAAAAAAAAAGATGAAACGACACAAGGAACACTTCAGCAAACAAGCAACCCGAGTGGGATAGAGCTGAAGAGATGGTGGAAAGAAGTGTTGGGAATACGAACATACCAAAGACCTGAACCTCCCCGTCATCGAGATAGGGAATCACTCCAAAAGGCTGCGGGATAACAGGGCCAGGGAGGGAAACAGACAAAGGCAATCCCAGGCCACCGTTGAAAAATCAAGAGGTTGCGGAACGACATGATGTAGTGTAATGCAAACGGAAGGTTAGAAAGCAAAATCATCATGGTGGCTTTCGCGTGTAGAACAGAACATTTGCCCACCTGCTTCTTCGTAAACTCTTCCGACGTTTGCTCCCCTTTCCCGAGATCCACGGTAACCACCTCGTAGTCCTGAGGAAGATAGAATAGTTTAGCATTAGCTAGTTCAGATTTTAACCTAAAGGTTGGCAGTTGAAGCGACATCCCCGACTGGAAATAAACCTATAATATTAGTTCGTACCGTAACGGCCTTCTCCTCGAGAGTGGTGAGCACCCTCTTGGTGCACGTCGACATGTTCATGCCGTAGACCTTGACTGGAGCCATGACGTCAGCGGCGAGAGCGGTATCACATAGATAATATGGGTGGATTTGAGAACGATGCGAGAATCGAGTCTAGGCTGAAGGGAGGTTGCACGGGTAGTGATAAAGCTTGTTAGACGCTTGACTGGGGATAATGGCCATCATGGCGCTGTAAATACACGCTAGCTGTTGGGTACGCGGCACGCTCTCTGGACTAAACTAGGATTGAATAGCAGCGGATGCTGGAGTCTTCCAGAAAAAGGCTCACGCTGCTTCGATGACACTTCTGTCTAGCCACCTCCCCACTGGACCTGTACGAAGAAAAGGTTTCTGCGAAATTACGATATTCGTGACAAAATGTCATGACGTCAATCTCGTTCCAAGCTTGCTGTTGTGGGTTCCAGACGAGTTCCGCTCTCGAGCGAAGAGACCCGAGCGAATTTCCCTTTCCTGTGTTACACCAAACTGCCGACAGTCGAACTTTCATGGCAATTTTTGCTTGTGTTTACGCCGGTCCTGGCTCGAACCAGTCGATAGAAGCCAGCTCGAACCTCGTTTGGATAAAAGGTTCGTGCCAGGGGGTCGAATATAGGAAAATACACGTATAAGTCACGCGCTGACATTTGACAGAACCACGGAACGACAGTTGAGAGTTTACATGGGCAACAGTTGCGTAATACAGCACACGGCGATGGAAGCACGTTTGTAGCTTCAAGTAGTGGAGCAATCGCTACTGCGTCAGAGTGACAGACAGTCGACGAGAGAGCACGACGTACGGCGATGAGAGAACGACGGACTGCGACGAGAGAGCGACGGAATGCGACGATAGAGCGACGGTTGACGACAAGAAAGGAGACTGTTCACAGCGAAATAATGATAGTAGACGACGATTAGCAATCAAAACCGATTCGCGGCGATGGCTGAGAGCCGCGACAGCAGAGGCGCGAGGAGCAGCGGCAATGGCGGGTGGGGCAGCACGGGCGCGCAGGTGGGGCTCCCGGCGGCGGCAGCGGCGGAAACAGCAGCGTCGGCGGCGGCGCCAAGCGGGGGTGAAAGGCCGCGCCGGTCACGCTCCTCCTAAATCATTTCCTCGCCGCCGCCCCCACCGGCGCCGGCACTTTCCGCCGCCACCGCCGCATCGTGCGCGCCTCTACAGCCACCTTCGCGAGAATACGCGGATGGTTTGCGCGCCAGTGTGAGGGGGAGCGCAGATGGGAGTGACGGGCGGCCGCGCGGAGGAGGAGAGGCGGAGCGGGGAGGGGGAGGCGCGGCGATGGGAGCGGGAAGTGAGGATGCGGGCGCGCGTGGCTTGGATTCGACGGAAAGGAGGCGAGGGATGGGGATGTAGTTTGAGGCGCCTTAAAATACACCTCAATGCACGCGGATTTTGAGGCGCCGTAAAATGCACTTCAATGCGGGTGGCTTGGCTTTGACGGAAAGGAAACGGATGGGGATGGGTTAAGGCGGAGCAGGAGGGCTGAGGAGGGGCGCAGGGGCAGGCGGAGGGGTGGGGAAGGGCAAGAGAGAGGGGGGCGCAGAGGGGGGCGCACAACGTGCTCAAGGGGGGGCGCAGAGGGGGACGCACAACGTGCTCAAGGGGGGCCGCAGAGGGAGGCGCGGGGGAGCCCGGGGGAGGGGGAGAGCTAACAGTAAGGTCAGATGGGGAGAGGCGAGGGGGGGGGCTAGAGAGGGGAGAGGGGTGGATGAGAGGGAGGCAGACGGATGGGAAACAAGTGGGCTGGCGAAGGCGAGGGAGGAGGAAGGGAGGAGAGAAGGGCCAAGGAGGGAAGGAGAAACGAGAAACGGAGAAAGGGGGAGAGGTGAAGGGAGTGGAGCAGAAGGACGAGGAAGGGGAGGAAGGGGAGGAGAAGCAAGGGGAGGAGAAGGGAGGGGAGGAGAAGGGAGGGGAGGAGAGGAGAGGATAGAAGGCAGCGTGGTGAAAAGGTCAAACTCAGCCGACCATTTTCAACATTGGTGTGGAGGCATGCAGCAGGTGAGGCATGCAGCAGGTGAGGCATGCAGCAGGTGAGGCATGCAGCAGGTGAGGCATGCAGCAGGTGAGGCATGCAGCAGGTGAGGCATGCAGCAGGTGAGGCGCCGCTGAGTCGATCCCTTGCCATTCAACGCCACGCCAGTGAGCAACGGCAGTGAGCAACAGCAGTGAGCAACGGCAGTGAGCAACGGCAGTGAGCAACGGCAGTGAGCAACGGCAGTGAGTAACGGCAGTGAGCAACGGCAGTGAGCAACGGCAGTGGGCAACGGCAGTGAGCAACGGCAGTGGGCAACGGCAGTGAGCAACGGCAGTGGGCAACGGCAGTGGGCAATGGCAGTGAGCAACGGCAGTGAGCAACGGCAGTGAGCAACGGCAGCGAGCAACGGCAGCGAGCAACGGCGGCGAGCAACGGCGGCGAGCAACGGCGGCGAGCAACGGCAGCGAGCAACGGCAGCGAGCAACGGCAGCGAGCAACGACAGCGAGCAACGGCAGCGAGCAACGGTGGTTCCATCCACACCCCTTGCTGCACCCATCTCCTCCCTCACACCCATCTCCCCCCTCACACCCATCTCCCCCCTCACACCCGTCTCTCTCACATCGACCCTCTCTGTCCCCTCTGATTGTTTTTGAGACGTCTCAACAGACAGTATTCTCTATCCCTTTGGGCTGTGCAACACCCTGTTTGGGCAAAAGTGCCTCCTTCCCCCTTCCACCCTCCCATCCCCCCGTGCCCCTCCCCATCCCACTATGTGCGCCACATCCCCCTTCTTTTTCTCATGCAGAAGCAGGGAGAGATGCAGCAGCGTGTGCTGGCAGGGCTGAAGGATGTGGGGCAGGCAATGTGCAGTGGGAGGGCTGAGTGTGTGGTGCTGGCGCCTAATGTGGAGGGGATGCCTAGGGCAGGTAAGGAGGGGAGAGAGAGGGGCAGATTGGGTTGTTGATGGTAAGGGATGTGATGATTGTGATTAGTGCTTGTACGCATGTACACCACGCATGTGCCAAGTACCGTAATCCCCCGCATAGTACACCCTAGGGTGTACTGATAAATACCCCCCTTCAGGGGGGTGTTCAATTATGGGGGGGGTGTAAGCTTGCACCCATGGGTGTTATATACATACAAAAACATTTAGATTTTAATGTATTCTGTTTTCAGCTCACTGATCTTTATCTATTCTGGCTGAAACAGCTTGCGCACTGTGCGTCGAATTCAGCCACCACCGCACTCAGCACAATTTGAACAGTCTCTCCAACTTGCATGACAGATTTCAGAGTGACGCGAGCCTCCACATGTGAGAATTCTCTGCTGAAAACTCGAAACTCGTTACAGATTCCGATGAAATTGCATCAGGGGGTGTACTAAAATATACAAAGATTATAACTGGTTTATTCTTCAGTACACCCACCGTAATTGAACACCCATGGGTGTTCAATTTTCAGGGGTGTACTATGGGGGGGATTACGCTACGGAGCGTGCCAAGTCTGGTCCGCCCGATGTGGCGAAAGAGGCTTCTGGGGAAGCCGAAGTGAGGAGACGAGGAAAAAAGGGTGGGCAGGAAAGGGGGAGAGGATGGACGGAGGGTGATGATGTGGGACATTCTTGGGAACTCTCAAAAGAGTTAATATCATTAATTATTTATCATCTATGGTCATTTATGTGTTGTGTTGTGTTGTGTGCTCCCATACTTATAACATGTTAAAAGCTTGTGTCTGAATTGCGTAATTTTACTGCACTATACAGTTTCCTACTTCTTGTAGCACCCATGGCTGAACTTGGCGTGCGAGCTTGTTGCATTTTCCGGAGAAATCAATTGAAGTTCATTTCGTTGAGTTGAATAAAAAAATATCATTGTAGCCTTTCAATAGCTTGTATGTTCCGAGGACTTCGCGTCAGGTGGTTTGCCAACCTCCCCGAACCACTTACACAGAGCCCCGAACCACTTACGATTCGCCACCGCACCTTTCGCTACACTTCCGAACCTCGCTGCCCCGAGGTTCTCGCCTAGCTCGACTCTGCCTAAAAAATTCCGTTTTGAACATTCACTCGGCATTCAGTAGCATTCTTTGGCTTTCCAGTTTAGTGCAT